AGAGTGCAGAGTTAGCTATTCAGAGACAGTAGGGCTTTGGGGTTTTTTTTGGTGTGTGTGTTTTTTTTAATAAACTAACTGTTGCATCATTCTGGCAGCAGAGCATTAATTACAAGGCCTCATTCTTCATTTTTCTCCCTTTTTATGTAAAAAAAGAGATGTATTTACGACACATAAAATAAACATTTTCATATTTGGCACGCCTAATTATGTTGATAATTTAATTCCCAGCTCCCTTCATGATATCTCCATTGTCATAGAGGTTATGCCGGAAATCACACAGCAAATGACTAATCAGCTCTGGAACTAACAGAAATAAGAAAGTTAGAAGATTCATTTGGTATATCCCAGTAGCACAAGACAGCCTGCTGATTTCATTTCAAGTAGGGCTGAGCCAAAATTTCTCTGAAAACAATTGTCCAGCCATTTCTGTTTGAATGTTTGTCTCTCTTGAGCTCTCTGTGGACCCAGTTTCAATGCTGTTGAAGGTGGCTCAAGCCAGCAATGGGCTTGGGCCCCTTTCTCCTAGCTTCTCCTCGCCTAGCCTGCTGCTTCCTTCAAGGTAGCAGCAGAGTTTTGTCCCACATTTTACAAGCCGAAACTTCTAAGTAGAAAATTTTCTGGAGGTGAGGGGGCAACCTCTTGAATAATTTTCATCTCCCTGCGAGAATATTTGGCAACATCTCCCCAATTTTACCCACAATAAATAATGTGGGTAATTTGGGAGGCCAGGTTTTGATCAGCCCTCAGTCAAAGGTACGGTTGCCGAACATAACATGAGGCAAAGGCTGATGATCTCATCTGTACTTCATTAATAAAAATCAATCAATCAATAATAAATAATCTATTAAATTTATATACCTCCCTATACCCACAGGTCTCAGGGCGGTTCAGAATACGGAACCACAAAATACATCAAAATAATTTATATTATTTATTTTATCTGCCTTTCTAAAGCCTTGAGTTTCTTTCTCTATTATTATTATTTTAGACAGTTGATAAGTTGATAAGCACTTTTGCACCCTCACAGCTGGTGGCGGCGGGGGTGGGGGAGGGAAAGATGATGAGCTACTATAGTTGTAACCAATAGTAGTACATTGTTGAACGACAACCCCCATTGGCTCATCTGAAGGGCATTGCTTTGGCTACCCCTGGAATACTATCAGATATTGTCCCCTGAAAAGGACTGTGCAGGATAAATAATTGGCAGAAACAATCCCTTGTCACTTCAGCACATCACTTTCATTTCCTTGCAGCCCCCCCTCCATACAACGGGAACAAAAGGCAGAGCTTTCTGAAATGCTGGGCTTGCTTTTTTACACCGCATTTCGTCAGCTGCAGCACCTAAAACTGCTTTGTGCGCATCTAATTTTTGTTTGTCATGCAGCACGCCACTGTAAATCTTGCACTTCTATTAAACAGCACCCTCTGGATTTATTTATTCTTAAGAGGAATGAGCAGTGCGCAAGCTTTTAAGTCTGGCTAGGCAGCAGGATGCGACTACAGTCATACCTCATGTTATGTTTGCTTCACATTATGTTTTTTTAGGTTGTGTCCCGCGGCGACCCGGAAGTACCGGAAAGGGTTACTTCCGGGTTTCGCCACTCATGCATGCACAGAAGCGTTAACTTGCGCTTCGCGCATGCGCACAAGCGCCAAATTGCGCCGTGCACCTGTGCAGATACGGCGCTTCAGGTTGTGGGCTTTTCATGTTGCGAACAGGCCTCCAGAACGGATCCTGTACACAACCAGAGGTACCACTGTATTTGCTTGGTTCCCACCCCACCTCCGACTCAAAATCTCTGCATAAGGAGTTGCCAGCATCTTCTCTGGAAGTTCCCAGCTGTGGGCCTAGCCTTGGGAGGTGAGGAGGTTGTTGCAAGAGAGAATTGGCAGGTGGAGGGAGAGTTTGAGACAAGGGCTGTTGCTCAGTGGTAGAGCTTTGCAATGCAGAAGGCCCCACATGCAATGCCTGGAGCTCCCAGGTAGGGCTGGGAATGTCCCCCGCCTAACACCCTAGTGAGCTGCTGCCAGTCGGTTCACAGAATAAAACATAGGATTGGAAAAAGTAAATAATTAAAGACAAAACAGCAAAACAATAACATGCCCCCCTTCCCACAGACACATTTAAAAGGCTGTAGAATGTTAATCAGCCCAAAGCCTGATTGAAGAGGAACATTTCTGCATGGCACCTAAATTATAAATAATGAAGGTGCCAGGAGAACCTCCCTGGGGAGAGCATTCCACAAATGGGGAGCCACTACAGAGAAGGCCTGTTCACGTGGAGGAGGCACACAAAGAAGGGCCTCAGAGGATGAATGCAGAGTCCGGGGCAGTTTATATTAGGAGAGGTGGTCCTTGATACTGAGTCAGATGGTATAAGACTAGGTATAAGGCACCGGCCTATGTTCTTCTCCATTTAAATGCCTGAAAAGAGCAGTGATGAAGGGTGGTATAATAATAATAGAAACAAAAACAACAGCAACAACTTATTACAAGTCACAGGTTCCCCAATTCTGAACTATAATGGGCAAAATAGTTTTGTGTTGGCTAAGCCTTTTAATTTATTGTGATTGACCTAGGCTGTCTTTTCTCCCCAGAGATAAAGCATATTTCAGTAGCATTTTTTTTTTTTAGGTGATTGTGCATATGTCTTGCGTTTTTTTCCTAAGAAAATGAGTATGAAAAGAAAGACTATTAAATTGACATGCATTCCTTGGATAAACTCATTGAACCCGAGTCAAGGACATTTTAGAATTTGTTAAGGTGCCTTGACCTTGCCTCCATGAAACTTCCTAACATTATTTTTTTTATCTACCATACAGCCTTGCAGAGTTTTCAAAGGGATTCCAATCTACGCTTTCAAGTTGGAAGAAAATTGCTTTCACACTTTATAAAACTAATCAAAAAATTCATTCTGCCACCCATCTAGTTTTGATTTGTATTGGTTTGCTGGATATTTCCCCCAATGAAGTAATAATAACAATAAATTACTCTTCAAACGAGTCATCATTTTATGAATATTTTTATTTGATATTCATTCTTTCTCCACTGCCTCCCTGCACCTGCAATATGCTAGAGTTCCACTTCCCTGCCATTTTTTGGTTTTTACTGGCCCTTCTCATTGACGGCCTGACACAGAGATTAAACAGCAAAAGTCTTTCCAGCCATGAAGATAAGTAGCAGAAAAATTGACACCAAATTAATTTCCATCGGTCAGACTGCACAAGAGCAGGGCCAATATAAAAGGCAGTGGCAGCAGATCCAGCTCTGGTCACTACAGGCTATGAATTTTGTGTATCTCTTCCAGCTTTAAAAATAATAATATTTTAAATAGTTAAATTAAGTTTTACGGCTGTATTAAGAGATCTTTTGCTGCTTTGAGCAAACTCATGGAACTTCTGTGATCTACAAAGAGAGAAAATCATTGCACTTCATGTTCTAGCCTAATCTGATGATAATGATAATGATGATGATGATAATAATAATAATAATAATTTATACCCCACCGATCTGACTCGGTTTTCCCAGCTGCTCTGGGCGGCGTCCAACAAAGTATTAAAAATACAATAAAACATCAAGCATTAAAACTTCCCTAAACAGGGCTGCCTTCAGATGTCTTCTAAAATATGCATTGCTTTTATTCCTTGACTAGGGTCTGCCCCACTGCTTACTTTGCTCATCAATTCCCTCCCCTACCCACTCTACCCTTGTGGGGTCCTGTGTACCTTCTGCCAAGAAAACCGAAGAAAGTAGCTTATTTCTCTCATTTGTCCTCCTTTTCCTCTTGCTCCCACAGCAGCATCATGGGCTGGGGAGGGGGAGACTTCCTCCCCTTCATTCCCCTCCTTCCACAAGTGGCAGCAGTGATAGGGGCTTGAAGGGCCGCTTAAACCTCCCCCTTTTTGTCTCATGCTGCCATGACCGCTGTGCATCTAGAGGCCAGCCAGCGCTTCTGTGTGCCTATCTCATCCCTGGCCACTTGAGGCTGTCCATTCACCACCTCTGGCCATGCTGTAGTTCATAGCACCACCTGTTGGTGACCAAGAAAACCACACCATGACGACACAAACATTGTTATTATAAAGTAAGATCATTTTTATAACTTGCTTTGTTTTTTTGTTTTTAAAGCTGAAAAAAGTGAAGGATTATTAACTTCAGTGAAAGAAAGCGACAAGGGAATGGTTTCTCCCTCCCTCACCTTCAGGGTGGCTCACTACTTTTAAAGGGCTAAGACAAAGTGGTTAGTAGAAAACATCCTGAGCTCTTTTCCTTTAAGTTGCTGGGTGCTGATGGATTCTGCCACAGAGTAAGACTACAATTTTAACCCCACTTAACCGGGAGTACGCCCCAATGAATTTGGTAGGGCTTCGGAATAAACATGGTAAAGGTTGTGTTGTAAGCCCATTTATCCCAGAAAAAGCAGGGCTTTTACAGCTATTCTAGTATGATGTTGCCAAGTTGTTGTTGTTGTTGTTGTGTAGCAGCACCCCTGTGCATATAGTGGAGAGGGGAAGCAGAGGAGCGCATTCCGAAAGGGAACCAGGTGTGTCTGGGTGATTAATGGACCCTCCTTGCTGTGGCAAGTGAATGAGAAGGCCTTGAAGTTTGTTTAAGGGAAATTACCATAGACACAGCCAGAGAATGAGAAAAATAACCAAGCAGAGACTGGGTTTTCTTTTCTTTGATGGGGTAGCTATGTATAGGGCTGCAATCGTGCTGATCGCCTTACACTGTGTTGCTCAGGGGCAGAAGCTGCTGGCTGAATTTTTTTTTAGGGGTGCAATGTTTCAAAAAGTACAATCCCTGACACCCGCAAAGTTGTTGAGATTTTGAGCAAATTCCCCCTATGGCATTTTTACACCCCAAAGCCATGACATTTCCTGACATATGGCGAGCGTGAATTTTGGGGACTCTCCTTCCTGGTGCTGCGATCCTGGGTGGGTGGACTGCCCGGAGGCGCCCTTACAGTTCAAAAGTAGTCATTCAGCCACTAGCTCTCCGAGTGCAAAATAGCTCAATTGGTAGGGCTTGAAACTCTGAATCTCAGGGTTATGGGTTTGAGCCCCACATCCGGCAAAAGATTCCCGCACTGCAAGAGGCTGGACCAGATCACCCTTCCAACTCAGTGATTCTATGAGAAGAAGCTGAGCATCCCATCTCTATGGGTTTGTGTGGAAGCAGGAGTGCCAGTTTGGCCTCACCACCGTGGGTGCCTGGGGCTGTGTGTGCGCCATGCAGTGTGCATGATCCTGGCGCCAAAATGTGTGGGTGCCCGGCCCCTTCACGGGGAATTTTGTGGGTCCTCGGGCACCTAGGGAGCAGGCACCTATGTGTGGAAGCTTCCCCGGGTGAACGTCTACCTACCATGTAACTGCCACTGGGAAATTTTATGTCAAGTGTTGTATTGCAGTATACTTGGCACGGATTGTTGCATTCCGACGATCATTTCGGACGAGGAAGCCAGGCTTTTCATTATAACATTTCGACGTTTATATAACCAAGTTCTTCATTAAAAAAAAAAAAAGAGGAAACCCTCGATGAAGAGATGCACGAGGATGCCGGGAGGAGAGAGAAAGAGAAAATCCCCTCCAAACACACTGCAAACTGAGGCTTAAACGGAAACAACCAGAGGTCAATGCAACGCCACAACTTGTCACTAGCTGTAGTAGCAGCAGCAGCAGCAGCCACGGCTCACAAAAGCTCCTATTTCACAGCTCGCGCTGCGGAAGGATATTTTACCTTGTTTACCCTGCAGCCGGCTCATTGAGTGAGTGGAAAGAGGGGAGGGAGAGGGTTGGGCAGGCTTTGCTCGTGTGATTGGCGCCTCTCCGGCTCAATGGGGAGGCACCTCGGGGCTCGGGGCGGGCCCTCTCCGCGGAGCCAGTCGGCTCTGCGGCGGCGGGGACTGGGCAGGCAGTCAGTCTCTTAGCCAGCCAGCCAGCCTGCTCGCCTGCCTGTGCGCTCCGGGTCGGCGTAAATGCGCTGGAGCTGCTGCAGCCGCCGCCGTTTGTGACACCCAGTAAGTAGAGACGCAGCGAGAGAATTCCCAGCGCACGTAAGTAGCTATTAATACATGGTGGGGAGATGATGCCTTGCTGAAAGGGATTGGCTCGGCCATCCCTTTCCCTCCCTACCTCCTCCTCCTACCTCCAGGAATTAAGAGAGATCGACGCCTGAAATAACTGAGTATATATACATATATATATATTCTACACACACGCACATATTCAACGTGCATCTTTAAATTAGCAGCATCTCCTCTGCATCTCAGGACTCTCAGAAGGAGGGACAAAGAGGAAACCGGCGAAAGGAGGTCTCCTCTCTTGCAGAGCTACTATTGTTAAGTATTCGCCTTTCATGCTGCTGCTTCTTTTGCATCATCATCACCATCATCATCATCGCCGCTGCAGGCGCGTCGCGCTCCAGGATTTGCTGAAAAGCGAAGGGATTTTCTCCCCCCACTCTTGTTGGAGATAAATAAGCAAATCAGCCCCACGCGAAATGGAAGAGAATTGATCCGCGCCTGTCCTTGATTGCACTTTTTGTCTGATCAAAGGAAACACACGCGAGGGAGGGCGCGCGCACACGAGAGCAGTCGTCGCGGGCGCGTGGATCTTCGCGCACCTCTCTCTTTCCCGGTGGTGGCGGTGCCTTTCAATTTAGGAACATTTTCCCTCCCGCAAAAGGAGAAAAAAGAGAGAGAGAGGAGTAAAGAAATCGATGACCAAATAGCGTCTTTCTATTTTTCTCTGTGTGTATTTGTATATACATATATATTTATATATATATATTATATTTTTCATCTTTTTGTTGTTGTTGGAGCTCCTTGCTGACCCTCTGAAGTTAAATGCTCCCTCGTTGTGGTTTGGTTTTTTTTTTTTTCATATCTGGATAGTCCTTGCTATCAGGGAAAAAGCTTCAGACGCCATCTACAGTTAAAACGTAGGGAAAAAAATTGATTGGGGGGAAAAAAGAAGGGGGGGACACAGTCGTCTGGCTGGTTGCTGCACGTTACCTGAACTTAACACTTTTCCAGCCGTGCGAGGATTTTGCAGGAGCGCAGAGGAAGCCAAATACTAGTAACGATTCTCACCTCTCTCCGTTCTCGACTTGTTCATTCCATTGTTATTTCTTTAAAAAACAACAACACCACAGTTGCATTTCCTGAGAGGCCACGTTTTTGCAAAGACTCACGCTTTGGCTTTGTTTGTGTTACTTTGTTCTCTTGCGCAAAAGCTCCCCGACGTGCCGGGCTTCTCCGGGAGAGGGGAATCCTTCGGTTTGGCCACCGGCTCTCCAGTCTCCGCGCCCCCTACCTCCTGTTTCCTCTCTCGGCGACATAAACTGGACACTAACCCCACGGAAACCTGCCCTCCGAAATCCCCCTCTTTTCTTCCGACGACAGCACAAAGGCATCGTTGCGGCCGGCCTGATCTTCACAATAAACCCCCCTCTCCAAAACGGTGTTGTGTGTGTGCGCGCGCGCGCTCTGCTGCTGCTCGCTCCCGCCTGCATCTGTGCGTGTTGTGTGATTTTTGGGGGGACCTTTTTTTGGAGGGCTTGCTCTCTCCATCCCCATGAACATACAAAGGTCAACCCCAATCACAATCGCACGCTATGGAAGACCTCGGAATAAAACCCAGGATTTTGAAGAGCTCTCTTCTGTAAGGCCCACCGAGTCCAGCCAGAGTTTCAGCCCCAACCTCGGCTCACCCAGCCCGCCAGAGACTCCCAACTTGCCGCATTGCGTTTCTTGCATCGGGAAATACTTACTGCTGGAGCCTCTGGAAGGAGATCACATTTTTCGAGCCGTGCATCTGCACAGCGAGGAGGAGCTGGTTTGCAAGGTAACAACTTTCCTGCCTCTCTTCTCTTCTCCCACCCCCTGGGATTTTAAATTTTTTTTTAAGCCTTTCTCTGTCTAGCGAGTTTATTTTTAGAAAGTACTCAGGAGTGGGGGCTGTGTGTGCTGGGGGCGGCGGCGAACCATTGATTTAAGCACAGGGAGAAGTTTAATTAAAACAAACAGGGAGAGAAAAAATCCTTGCATAATTTAAACGGCTCTCAGCAACTTTCCAGACAATGGCCACGTTATAACGGTGGCCTGGAGCCAAAGACTTGGGGAGGGGAGGAGGAGGGGAGTTAGGCTCTGAAGGCCACATAGGTGGAAGTACGTATAATCTAATTTCCCTCCTCTCTTTCCTTTCTGACTTCCCAAAAGGGAATCCCTTGCTAATTTTCAACCGGTCCTCCGAGGATATTTCACTTCCCTTGGGTGGTGCTGGATGCAAACTTGGCAAGTTGGCAGCTTTGCCTCTGTGTAAGACTGCAGACCTGTGTAGGCTTACTTGGGAGGAAGCCTGATTCCTCAGAGAGGGAGTTTTACTTGCAAGGCGACATGTGTGGGATTGGAATGTGGATCCGAGTTCTTTTTTTAAAATAAATGCACACGAGCACCAAGCCTCCTTGCCATGGATTGTTTGCAAACACAATCGCCCACGTTTCAGCAGGAAACAATAATAATAATAAATCCTTGCACACTTGCATGCTTATTTTGTTAGAAGGCCATGCAGAAAACAACAACAGGGCTCAGACTTGGTAGGTTGCTGGCTTCTCCGGTCTCTTCAGCTCCCCAGTGAAGGTAAACTGGAGAAAGGAAGTCCACATGCTTCTCCTATGGAGGGAAGTGGCGTCCATTCACTCAGAGGCGATACTATTTCCTTTGTTCCTAAACTGCTGTGGTTACTATTTCTTTCACTCTCCCTGGTGCCCTCTTGGAGCTCTGCTCCTGGAGCAGCCCCTGGAAAGGCTGTGTGGGAAGATTGCCACACTACACCACCTTTGTAATTACAGAATATTTCCCCCAAAATGTGTATTTTTATGGGATTGAGAACAAAACCCAAACAAGCTGCAATCCTAGTGTTGAATCGGTAGGCTGTGATATAGACACATGGACTACCCTTTAAATAATCCAAGCTTTTTGGTCACTGTAGACCAGGTGGATGTTTTTATTTAGATTCATATGTGGCGACAAAATTAAACTGCAGCCCCTGGTTCGTCGCAAAGAGCTCTCTGTTCAGGGCAGTAAAAAATGTACTGGCCACCCGTGAGTCATGAACCTTAAATCTTAATAAAGATTGTGCAGTTTATACCTGATTATGGAAAGTAGAGCCTCTCTGACCTTGCAAGGACTTCCACTGCACAAGGAACCAGAAAGTGGAGCGATGGTGCAGATCATTTAAAATGCATGCATTAGTTTGTCCAAAATAGATGCAAATCAAAATATTATCAGCCTCTTGTGGGAGGAGCAGATGAAAGCCAAAGAATGAGCAGCTGAAATGCAAAGAATGACATCTTTATGAAGATGCACAAATCTCGCAAGGCTGCCTTATCTGTTTGAAGATTTTCAGGAGCTAGTAACTTCTTTTTACACATCTAGTAGTTAAATTCGATCCAAAACCACCTGTGATTGTGTTCTAAAGGTATAGGAAACTACTGTGCTACAGAAGCAGAAGTCCTGTATGAAAGAGCATCTTTGTCCATTATAATGTCTTTGAGCTTCAGGATGGGGAAGTGTTAGGAATTTTCATGTTTTGAGGACACTGGCAACCATTTTTCGTAACTGAATGCCTCCCTAAAAAAAACAAAAACATTTCAGTTCCCCTCGCTTGCAAAATTGTAACCCTGCATGTTTGCCTTTAAAAAACAAAACAAAATCTGCCTCTTTGGCTGCTCCTGAAAAAATAGTGCCCTTGCATATACAGCTAATAATAATAATAATAATAATAATAATCAACCGACTTGTCTAAGTAAAAACAGGCTTGTGGATTTCCCCCCCTGCCCCACCCCCATTAAGAGCCAGATAACAAAGGGGGGCTGATGAGGCTTAATTTAATTTGGCTGGAACCCCCTGAGTATGCAAAATGCCATTCTAGAATCAAAATGAGCTCTTTTTTTTACACTCGCTGCTGGAAAGAGCTAAACTGGACTACCTATAAAGTCACATGTCCTGACTTTGCATTATAAAGAACAACAAAGATAAGCTTTGGGGGAGCCAGTCAAAATGACAATTTTTTTTTAAAAAAATGGCTCTTAGGGGAAAATTTGGCTGTTAAGGGGAAACATTTTGCTTGCATGAGGGCCACATGTTTTTATAGTACTTAGAAGGTGGTCATGGCTGCAATCCTGATCCTGGTTACCTAGGAGTCAGCCTCATTGGATTCAGCAGGACTTCAGAGTAGACAAATAATATCATGCAGACGATGTGCTGCAATATTTCACAAGGAGACTGCAGTTGTGGTGGGAATGTATATCTGTTCCCACAGCTTCTGGTATCATTGATGGGTTCCCCTGAAAGGAAGACATCTGGAGGAGACAAAAACAAACACCACCTGCAGTGGTCTTCCCTTTTACAGATACGTAGTTAAGCGGTCAACAGGCCCAAGTAAAAGATCTTTTCTCTTTCCACGCGTCAGGAATAACAGGAAGAGCTGTGGCGAATGCAGTTCATGGAATTGCCGAAGCTTGCACTTATTTATAGAAACTTGCTAGAGAGTTTCTCAACCTGCTGCAATCCTCTGCATGTTTACCTAGGAGCAAGACCCGTTGAATTGGGTGAGACTTAGTTCTGAATGGACATGCATAGGATGTTGCTAGTAGGTATCTCAAAGGCAAGTGCTGTTCCGCTTCAGAGCATTACAGAAGATAATGGCTTCAAGACAGGTTTTGCGTGCCTTAAATTAATTTCTGAATTGCTAAGCTACAAGCTATAGAAAGAGCAAGTGGTGAGCCACAGTCATTTATCCTTACGTTGCGCAATATGGTTGGCCTGCATTCTTCAGCATTAATCTGACTTTGTAACTTCCTGACCTTCATTACCAAGGGACAAATGCATCAGAATCTCGCAGCCTTTGCGAATAATGCAAGCCTTTGTGTCACGCACTGGTTATGCCTTCTTACTGCAGCGCACCCGTTATTCTCAATGAAACGTTCCCATTGCCTGGAATCCAAATGTCTCAAGCACTGATTCATTCATAATCGCTGGATTAGTGGAACATTTTTTTATATCTATATTTGAGTTTCCCAGCATGCTTGGCGATTCCTTGCCATTTCATTCACGAGAACACAAGGTGGATGTGCTTGCAAGGTTAGAGAGCCACTCGTGCTGCTTAAAAAAGATGCACTAAAAATCTCCATAAGACAAATACAAGTTTGCAAGTCCATTAGAACATTTCCCTAGTCTTATGGGTAGGGAACTCGCAACCCCGGGGCTCAACCCCAAAGTGACGTCTCACATGTTTGCCATCAGTGCGTTTGCACCTAAGCTTCCCTGTTGCACATCTCCCAGAATTTTCTCCTATGCAAGCCATCACAAGCGAAGGGCTATCCATTTTGCCTCATCTTACAACCGCCCGCCCTGTCACCGTGTGAACAGCGACCGAAACCTTGTGTTTTCTGTTGCTTAGCAACGGAAACACAGCAGAGTCCTTCCCTCGTTTTTTAGCATTTCAGACACAACTCTGAGACGTCACCAAAGGCCTCTTTAACTCCTTCCTTTTGTGAAACAGCAAGGGAGGTGTTTTCTGTATCTCCGCTCCAAATTCCTATGTGGCGGTCAACCTTGGGTGCTTTGCTGTTGTTGGACTACAACGCCTGTCCTCCTCAGCCACCTTAGCCAATTGTCATGGAAGATGGGAAGTGTAGCCCAAGAACTGTTGGGAACCTAGGGTTGAAGAGCGTGGGGATAGACAAGGAGTGGGGAATGGGATAGACTCTGCCAACCTCTGTTGGTGCTTGGGGATGGAAGAGGCCATTGCCTGAATATTGGAGAGGGGAGGAAGGAATTTGAGAGCCTTCAGCTTCCATATGAGTTGCGGACCGTGGCACTATTTGTGTTGCTCAACAAGAATTTTGACTTCCCTCATTCCTTCCACTGCCAGAGAATAGAATCATAGAATTGTAGAGTCGGAAGGGACCCTGAGGACCTTCTAGTGCAACGCCCTGCGATGCAGGAATACACAGCTGCCCCATCAGGGAATCGAACCTGCAACCTCAGGTGCATTATCAGCACCACGTTCTTTAACCGACCGAGCTATCCAGGCTGTGGAAAAGGAAGGTGGTGTGTAGAAATGGGAAACAAGGCTGTGCCCTCCAGAACTACAACTTTCGCCAACCCCAGGCAGCATGGCCAGTGGTCAGGCATGATGGGAATTGAAGTCTGAAGGGCACCATGTTGACTTACCCCTCTGATAACCAGAAGAAGGCGGTGATAGTAGCACAACTTGGTTTGCAAGATGGGTGGGTAAGGGGGAACCTGTGGTCCTCCAGATGTTGCTAGATTACAATTCCCATAATTTTTGACCATTTAGACCATGGTTGCTGGGGCTGATGGGAGATGGAGTCCAACAATGTATGGTGCCTCAACCCTGGTTTTTTAAAAAATAAAATGGGAATACAGAGGTAAGGGGGAACCTGGGAGACAACTGAGAGTGCATTTATCACATATAAGAAGAGAAAGGTAAATTATGTCAGTAACCAATTTGTGTGAATGGTAAAAAAGTTAATAAAAGTTTTAGGTTTTTTTTAACAAAACAACAACAGCCCTGGTTTACCAGAGAGTATGGTCCTTTTAAAGAAATGTAGCATGCTCTGCTTACTCTTTAAAACCCATGGCGGAGTTTTCATTCAGATACGGAGCCAGTGTGGTATAGTAGCGAGATTGTTGGACTAGGGCCTGGGAGGCAAGGGTTCAAATCCTCTCTTGGCCTTGAAAGCTCACTGGGTAACCTTGGACCGATCACTGCCTCTCAGCCTAACCTACCTTGCAGGATTCTTGGGATTAAATGAGGAGCGGGAGAACTATGGTTGCCACCTTGAGCTCCTTGGGAGGAAAAAAGAAAAAGCTGAGATGTAAATGCATAGAACCATAGCATTGAGGAGTTGGAAGGGACCCCGAGGGTCATCTAGTCCAACCCCCTGCAATGCAGGAATCACAGCTAAATGAGTGTCTGGGTGCTGGATCCATTGGTGATATGGGTGGACGGACAGATTGGACAGCCCCTCAGAGGCAATGCATAAAAGCAAAACAAGAGTGGGGGAACCCTAAATGTTTTGAAGCATGATACAGTGGTACCTCGGGTTACATACGCTTCAGGTTACAGACTCCGCTAACCCAGAAATAGTACCTTGGGTTTAGAACTTTGCTTCAAGATGAGAACAGAAATCGTGCTCCGGTGGTGCGGCAGCAGCAGGAGGCCCCATTAGCTAAAGTGGTGCTTCAGGTTAAGAACAGTTTCAGGTTAAGAACGGACCTCCAGAACGAATTAAGTACTTAACCCGAGGTACCACTATACAGTGGAACCTTGGGTTGCAAACGTGATCTGTGCAGGAGGCACGTTCACAACCTGCAGCGCCGTATCTGCGCACGCGTGTGATGCGATTCAGCTCTTCTACGCATGCGTGAGCGCCGAAACCCAGAAGTAACCCATTCTGGTACTTCCGGGTTCGGCGCAGTCCGTAACCTGAAAACATGCAACCCGCAGTGTTCCCAACCCGAGGTATGACTGTACTTCCCTCCCCTCCCCTTTGCTGTAACTTTATTGGCCATCCAGAATCAGAATTTTCATAGATTCTGAGCTATCGTTGAATTTTTTTGATGCTTTTGTTTGCAAAGAACCGGATGTTCCTTTTAAAAACAAGCCTATTTATGTTTCTCCCCTCTTATCAGCCAGGAAATTAGGCCATTCACTTTCCTTTCTCTCGCGGATATAATTTACATAGGCCGGTTGGAGTGTGTGTTGGGGTGAAAACCCTCGTTTAGTTTTCGTAAGGAAGAAAGCACTTCCAGACTGCTTGGGGCATAGTCTGCTGAAACACAAGTGCCAGTTTGCAATTTGGACATCTTTGCTTTTGTAATATGCAGAGGGGTTTTTATTAGTTTTCAAATCGGTGTGCCTTTGCTACAGCCTGTTTCCTTTCTATCTCTAACCCTTTTGTTTTTATTGCCAATTGCGTCTCTAGGTGTTTGATATCGGCTGCTACCAAGAGTTGCTTGCGCCCTGCTTCTGCCTGCCCCCTCACGACAACATCAACCAAATCACTGAAATCATTCTCGGGGAGACGAAAGCCTATGTGTTCTTTGAGAGGAGCTATGGGGACATGCATTCCTTTGTTCGTACCTGCAAGAAGCTGAAGGAGGAGGAAGCAGCCAAGCTGTTCTATCAGATAGCGTCTGCTGTGGCACACTGTCACGACGGCGGGCTGGTGCTGCGAGATCTCAAGCTGCGGAAATTCATCTTCAAGGATGAAGAAAGGTAAGGGATTTCTCTCCCTTCCTCCCGGCCCTTTGGAATCCACCAAGGAGTGTGTCAGGGATGCAGATTTGAAAGGGGTTGTTTTCTGAAGGCTCATACTGATAGCCCCATATGGAAGTAGAGGAAACATTCCTGCCAGTTTTGATGGAAGATCTAGGAGAGCAGGTGGTGCTTATACCACCTTGTTTCCTTCTGGTCCCTGGGGTGAAGCCACCACCGCCATGTAGCTGAAGCTAAGCAGGTCTAGGTTGGGTGAGTGCCTGGATGGGAGACCTCGTGAGAATCTGTATGGCGATGAGTTACATGAAAGAATCATGGGATTAAGATGTAATGAAATTACACGCATGCATATATACATACACATACACACGCGTGCACGCACACACACACCCTCTTAAACTAGAATCTGTACAAGTTAACTTGTGATTTTCCTCTTAAAACCAAAGTTAATACTGCTTCTGTACACAAACACACACATTCACAATCTGCACTCACAAACATATCTTTTGAACTGTGGGTTTCTATTTTCCATTCATTTGATTCCTGGGAAAAAGTGGGTTGTTGTTTTTTGGCAGTTACTGTGAGAGATTGCTTTGTCGTAGAAAAGCGACAGATGGGTTTATAAGATAAATAAAAAGAAGAAGGGATGAATAAAGCGTGTACCAACCCCAACCCCACCCCGGTTTGGCGACTGCTTAATCTATATTCTGCTTTTTGGAGCAATAAGCCCTTGTTGCCAGGGTGTTGTAAACCCCAACCTACCCTACCCACTGAAAAGTTTGGCCAGGATTCACTTCTGCCTTATGGAGAATCTTGCACCAAGTGGCCCAAAGGGCTGCCTCTGTTGATTACTGGTGGGAACATGGAGACTAGAGGCAAAGAGTGTGCCTTCTCATTCAGGTAAAAATGTGTGAATCACCTAACAGACCTTTTACTGGTCTGTAAAGCAGGACAGGTGTCGCTGCTTCTTTTCTAAGAGGGGCAAGCATGGGGACGTCTGGGTTGTTTTAGTACACTCTTACACGAGTGTTTGGTTCCTGGGGTCCACTCGTAAAACCCAAAAATGTGCAAAGCCAGGAACCCTCGGAACTGCCACCCACCGGAACTGCAAGGTGTGGGGAGCTGCTTACCTGACTTTGGGCTGCTTACCTGCTTCCTCCCCAAAGCTGAGTAAGGCTGCAATAATAGCTGTGTAAGGGTGGCTGGAAATAAATCAATCAATAGGGGGTTCCCTCCTCTTTCCATTCATTTATTTCCTCCTCACCTGCAAAAAGCTGTGATCATGTAAGTAAAAGAAGCATAAGATGTGAGTTACCTGTGTGATGTTTGTTGTTTTCTCTCTTTTTTAAGCATTTTGTGGAGATTTCACTTTTCGAGCAGAGGTTCTAAAACACACACACACACACACACACGTTTTCAATGCATTAAGCTTGACTTGAAGGGACCTTTTGTAATTCTTTGTTAATGTAATGAATTAACACATGTTAAGCTGGTTTCTTAAGCTTGCTAATAATATCCATGGAGGTAAGGAGACTGGAGGAGGCAGTGGAAGGGAAAAAAAAACATGTTGCCTGGGTGATGTCCCGTAAATACAGCAGGATTCTTAGATGTTTGGGATGACTGGATAAGGCAAAGGGGTGTTTTACCTTTCCATCTTGGCACCATAAGCAAGCAAGCAAGCAAGCAAGAGTGAGTGTCTGCTAATCAGTGTGTTTGGGGCTGCTGATGATTAGAATTCCTTTCCTGTGCTTATCAGTTTTCTAGGGTACTTACATCACGTAAGGTAAATGCCATGGCTGGAGTTGACAGGCACAACAGGGAATGGTGCTAGAACAATGAGGACCAGAAACAAAAAGTTGCTCAGTCTTCAGGGTGACCTGCAAAACACTTTTTAAAAAAGAGTTAGAATTTTTTTCTGCATTACTTGAAACCTCCTTAGCATGTTTCATAAAATCTTCTTCAAATGCGAAGCGTGAAACAGTACATTCCTGAAACCGCAATAATTGGTATCTACAAAGAAAAAACTGGCCAGTGTGTTTGACTGACTGGTGAGAGTGTTCAGCTTTCCTTTCCTTTGCCATCGCTGGATGAATGTTAAAAATGCTCTCACACTTTTTGACTGTTTCCCCGCCTACCAAGGAAACCAGGAAAGCTTTTAAGAGTAGACAGAACATTTGCCTGTTGTGTTATACACACACACACACACACACTATGCACGCACCTGTGCTCACACAGGCAAGTCTTTCTCCTTTGCTTCCCATTTTCCAAATACTGGCAAAATGCCCAATTCCTAGCTGGCAATATGGATTTGGCAGAATAAAATTGGTGGTGGTTGGTGATAGGAAATGTTAACTGCAAACTCGATTAGTTGGACCGCCTTCTCAAACTGTGATGTTCAAGCTTCCTCAGCATACTTCCTGGGTGACGTGGAAGGAACTTTTGATTGTATTCAAAGTACTATTGATTTAGAACTCAAACATCTATAAAGATTTTTTTTGGGGGGGGGATATTTTGTGTTTCTGCTGTCAGGCAACAGTATTTGTTGCCAGGTTCTGTAAATTGATGCAGCTTGAATGGAGTGTTGTTAGAGAGGAAGGGAAAAGACATTGCTTGGTAAAGGTAAAGGACCCCTGGACGGTTAAGTCCGGTCAGATTTGACCATGAGGTTGAGGTGCTCATCTCGCTTTCAGGCCGAGGGAGCTGGCGTTTGTCCCCAGATGGCTTTTCCAGGTCATGTGGCCAGCATGACTAAACCGCTTCTGGCGCAATGGGACACCATGACAGAAGCCAGAGCACACAGAAATTCCATTTACCTTCCCACCACAGTGGTACCTATTTATGTACTCGCACTAGTGTGCTTTCAAACTGCTAGGCTGGCAGGAGCTGGGACAGAGCAATGGTAGCTCTCCCTGTCACACAGATTCGAACTGCTGACCTTACGATCAGGAAGCCCAAGAGGCTCGATGGTTTAGACCACAGTGCCACCTGCGTCCCCCCCAATTGCTTGTAATGTGTTGGTTTCTCCCCCCGCCCCCACCCCTGGGCCTACAATAGAGTAACTGGGGTCTTGCTTGGAATGAGAAGGATTTTGAATGCAGTTCCCTATGTTTCCCTGTAGTGGAACATAGAACTTAATTTAACTGAGGTGGCTAAGATCAGTTGATTGCAACGGCTGTGGTGTCTTTTTCCTTGCACACCTTGTCACAACTATGAATTTGGGAAGCCTAGTTGGGGCATGTGCCCAAAAGCCTGAACTGGAATACTTACGTGGAAACAAAAAAACCCCCTTCCATTTAAACACACACACCCATTTTTGTCCAATGAGTCTTTTAGGTCAGTGTGTGTAGAGAGCATGCTCCCTTTTGTGACTGCCATTTGGTTTGCTTTCCCTGTTATTACACATTCCTTATTTCCTTTCTATACGCCTGTGATCTTGTATTCTCATGGTTGCTTGTTAGCAGTACTTTGTCTGCCTTGATTCTCCCTAGTTCTTAGCTGTTGTGTGGCTCTGGGGCACTGTTATCAACTGCTGCTGCCCACCTCAGTACAGATGCTCTAATCTGACATTGCAGTTATGTGTGTCCTTAACTCTGATGGTATAGTGGTTAAGAGCAGTGGACTCGTAATCTGGTGAACCAGGTTTGATTCCCCATTCCTCCATGTGCAGCTGCTGGGTGACCTTGAGCTAGTCCCACTTCTTTGAAGTCTCTCAGCCTCACTCACCTCACAGAGTGTTTGTTGTGGGGGAGGAAGGAAAAGGAGATTGTTAGCAGCTTTGAGACTCCTTGGGGTAGTGATAAAGCAGGATATCAAATCCAAACTCTTCTTCTTCTTCATTAGTTGCCTTGCAAATGAAGCCTTGTGCAGGTGCTTAGGTGAGTCCCAACCTTATCGAACAGGATGCTCATAGACTCTCCTTGGACAAGTGTATACTGTAAATTGTGATCCTTAATTCTTGGAGGTGCAGTTCCCCAGCTTTACATTTTCTGCGCTATGGGTAAGACTTTGAGTGCTTACCTGAATGGAAGCTTCAATAGGCTGCTATGCCACAAATGTGTCCTAGATGCTTTGAGTCATTCCGCTGTTTGTTGGGAACTGCCGGAGAAGCCAATGGGCTGTGCATACAACTTTGCCTACAAAATTGTGTGCTTGAAATGGCAACACCTAGATCTCTTGTGTGGATGGAGTTGTCGGAGCAAAACGGATGCAAATAATTTGATGTCGGGGCCAAAGCACAAAGGCATGGTCCCATCTGTCTTTCAAGTCTGTTGAGAAGGATCGATCTGTGGGTCTTGCATGAAATAACTTTTATGCTCTTTTAAATTATAAGAGTCTAGAGCTAAAACACTGCCTAGGTACAGAGCTTGCTTTGAGTGATAGATTTATTTTTCTTGCCAGCAAATTATTAATGTTTGCAGGGTATTAAATCTTCAATTATATTCAAATATTAGCTGTCACAATATTTGACACTGAAAAAGTTTGTGCTCGTTAATCAGTCTTGTTAACAAGGTTGGAATCATTTTTAAAATATTGAGACTTAAGGCATTCTGTTTACTTCTGAATTTCCTTGCATAAAAGAGATTTGTCTCTAGTTGAGAGTTGAGAAAGAACCTGACTTGCCTTTGCGTCCCAATAGTTTAAAAAGCTAGTGCGGTAAATGAATGCCTACTAGGTCTGTATGTAGCTATGTTGGTCTGTATACTTTGGTTATCTAATCCCACCTGCTTACCTTATTTAGCTAGGATTTGCATTACAACCAAAATCTGCAAAGGCCAGAGTCAGTCCTAGCAAGACCTAAGCTGATCAATTAGCATATCACTGTAGCAGCGGCATACGAGTTCCTTCCTCATGGGCACAGTCATGCCTAGATGGAATAGTAGTGTAGGTATGATTGCTTCCTATGCCCCTTGTACCTGGACCTCCAGGGAAGACAGCAGCCAGACACAACTGGCTTGCAGGAAAGTAGGTATTGTGCCACTGGGGCACATAGGAAGTGACCTTGTAACAAGTCATACCATTGGTCCATCTAGTGGTGCATTGTCTGCACTGGACTGGCAGCAAGTTTCCAGGCAGGATTCCAGGCAGGGGACAGTCCCACCTGGGGGACTGAACCTGGGATGCTCTCCCACTGCCCTTCTCTTAGGAGCTGGACCTAAGTCTTAGCCCTGTGGAACGCCCTCCCACCAGATGTCAAAGAGAAGAACAACTACCAGACTTTTAGAAGACATATGAAGGCAGCCCTGTTTAGGGAAGCTTTTAATGTTTAATAGACTATTGTATTTTAATATTTTGTTGGAAGCCGCCCAGAGTGGCTGGGGAAACCCAGTCAGATGGGCGGGGTATAAATAATAAATTATTATTATTATTATTACTACTACTACTACTACTAATGGGGTATGCACAGTCCTACTGTATTGCTTTCTAGTTATACCTTCCAGTAGATGCTTGGGTAGATCATTTCAGGTTTTCGCTCTGCTCTGTTTTGTTTTATTTAACAATTCAGCGAAAGGAAACTCAGCCCACAAAAATGTGACCAGAGACACAAGCTGTTACATTCCTTACCGGTTGCCAAGTAGTAAGATTTCTCAGAGCAATGAATGACTCTGGTTTTTTAACCGCCTGTCACCCTTTATTGCAGCCAGCTGATTTACAGTGATTTACAGTTGGAGCTAGTAACCTTTTGAACAATGCTTTGGGTAAAGGGGGCGGGGGAGAGCCATGGAGGAATTATGGGAGGCCCCTGTTTTAAGATGCTTCTTAAGGCTGAGCTTATGAATTTATTGGTTCTGGAACGATCACAACATCGGTGATGGGTTTCTGCAGTCATGCTAGGTCACAGAATGCTTTGCAGCTTTCATAGCATGCTTCATCTCAGAAACCCTGTGTGGTAGGCTGTTGCTTTTTCCACTTGAGGAACTGAGGCTGTTGAGTTTGGGATTTGACAGACTCCTGGTTGCAGAGGTTCTGGGGTGGGAGTCCCATACTTTTTTCCACACTGAATTTGTCCTAGTTGTCAACATCAGGTGGCAGCACTGATCTGTTAAGGGTCGGCCCAACGCAGACAGGACTGAGCATATATTCCAGATTCTTAGATCAGGGTAGCAGATGTGCTGCTCTCCAGAGGTTGTTGGACTAAAATTTCCATCATCGTTGACCATTGGACCCTTGCTAGCTTGGCCCGATGTGGTCTGACAATATCTGAGACCCACCATGTTGGGTATCCCTGCCTTAGATGCCAATTTCCAGGGATCTGTGCACCAAGCTACACGTTGCACTTAATGTATAGTGTACCAGGATGTCTCCCATTTTTAATTTTAGTTAATTGCAAGTGCAAACAGGGATGGGAATATTTCGTGGGATTACAGCAGGAGAACAAGTTTATCGAAGTCTCTGACAGCCCAGATTGCAGGTTGGTTTTGAGCTGGAATTGTGTGTATGTGGGGTATCAACCAGAATGGTATTTTGCTGAATTTCCCCCCAATAGGCTTTGCCGCCTGCACCCAATTTTGCTGCTCCCTGATCATACCAGCACTCTTTGCCTGGTTTGTGGGTCTGGCTGACTCAGCGTAGGAAAGGAAATTCACCATTTGGAAGACCAGCCAAAAGCATGCTTAGAGCTTGGATAGAATGTTAGAGGAGGGGAAAATAAAGATCTGCATTTAGTTTTAAATTGAATTGCATCCTTTTACGGCTATGTCATATGCAACCCATCCTCTGCAAGACGACGTCAGTTGGTTTTATGATACTGCAGATCTCGCCGGTAAAAATTGAGTGGTGTTCCATTTTCCTTTGTATTCCGGATTCTTTCCTTTATCCACTTTGATATCTGTGCCATTCCCTCTTGCTTTCTTGTGCAACTCTCCCCCCTTGAGGTACACACATGCTGAGAAGCCATGTTTATGTAACTATGGAGGATGATAGTCCTCATTAACTCAGAACCGAGAAGAAAGTCACAAGGTCAAATGAAGGGTCATCTTTGCTGTGGCAGGTGAAAGAAGAGATCAGTTTTCATTCCAGAAGCACCCCGCTTTTTTCTCATGATTTTGGAACTTGTCCATGTGTAGAAAGACTGTGGGAGGGGTTTTTTGTTTGTATTTTCGTCCTCTTTGGGCAATAACTCTCATTTGTCAAATAACAGAAAGGGACTAGTTATGCAACTTCCTTAGGCATCAGAGTTTAGACTACTCTTTTTGGATTTCAACATCTACTCGTGGATCATTATTATTCGCTTATATTGTGTAACAAAAGGTTCAGCAGTGGAGTTGATCATCCTGATGAATGTTGGTGCTTGGAATCTCGAGACATGGTACATGTAAGGGTTTGAGAAATCAAGTCTTGCATCTGCTCCTGAATTTTTACTCCCTCTTTCCAAAGTGCCACATCACCAAAGACCCAGCAGGTCTATAGGGCTGTGAATGCACATAGTGGCAAGGATGTTGTAGTTCCATGCTCTGGAACTCGATGTGATTCCATATACCCCTTGTGACCTGCTCCGATTGACTCCTTTGTTTGAATCCTGCCCTCCCATTGTGATGACCCCCACTGACTTGCTTTGGGGTTTGTAAAGTCATGTTGCTTCCTTCTGAAAACATAACGTTCCACCACCCCTGGTGGGGTCCCAGTCATGAAGCACCATCAGATCCTGACTAACTTCAGCTCCAGGGTTGAAGGGACCTGTGGTTCTCCCAATGTGTTGTTGGACCACAGTTCCCCTCATCCTTGACCATGCTGACGGGGGTTGATGGGAGGTGGAATCCAACAACATCTAAAGAGCTGCAAGTTCTCAACCCATCCTGTTCCTTCCTTATCGTGCCAGCAGGGTCACCGTGTTGTCTCCTTAGCCCTGGCAGAGACTCAAGGCGTAGGCTCTTTCCAGATCAAGTGTATTGTTCTGCTTGCACGGTTACCCACTACTAGTGTTGCATAGTGCTCTGCCAGAATGCTGGGCGAGTGGAGCGATGACATTGTGCTCAGTGGGTTTCATTTCAAGGATAGGATTTCCCTGTGCATCAGAATCTCTTTTGTAACCCTCGGATTCATCAGGGAAGAATAATGTGAACCACTGTAGAGGGGGGAAATGTGTAGGACATGCTGATTGTTTGCCAGAAACGGATGCTAACTCAGGAGTTTACTTTGAAGGTCCTTCTGGAAAAGGCTTAATTGATCAGGTTTTGTTACATTGCAAAAGGGCCAAGTCTGAATGTACTCAAGTAATGAATGGCATATTGATAAGAAATTCAGAATGGTATTGTTTTTCATGGGCTTCCCTGACGGTTTCTATGGGGACAAAGACGCATTTCCCGTCTGAGTGCTATTTGCTGCCCTCTGATTGCACTTCTGTGGTTTCATTCACCAGTAATGGGAAAGCGTTCACAGGCAGAATAGCTTCCCCTTTTTAAATAGCAATGATTCAAGCTTGCTTTTTTTTTTTTTTAAGCATTAGACTAATGCAGGGTTCTGTCAGTGATCTGAGAGCTGCATAATGCTGTCTGCCCAAGTGCCTCTTCTATCTCCTCTTCCGAACTGAAATGATATACTCTAATTACACTGGCTCTGACAGAAGGCTTTGCATTATATAGTAAGTTTTATAAAGCGGATCTTATTTAGCTGTGTGGAAGCCCCTATTTATCTAACTAATTTCAGTGCAACCATTCCCATAGCTAGGGGAAACAGAAAAACAATTGGTTCACAGGATGTCTTTAAAAATGGAAGCTCGGGTTAGAATATATTTTTTTTGCGTTCCGACTCTAAATCTAGATTCTAATCTAAAACGTGATGCTGGCAACTTGCTGCTTGAAATATCCATTGGAGTTTTGTGTCCGTTCTGCCTGTGGCACTTTGTTTAGCAGCTGGGTTCAGAAAAGAGCATTGCAGGTGATGCCATAAATATAACCCTGGTCATAAATGTAACCCTGGTCACTGCTGTCTGCGCCTACCCTGGATGCATGACACAATGTGGCTTATTCTTTATACATTGCAGATAATTTGGAAATGATGTGTTTCTCTCCCTCCCTTCCCTCCCCCCGCCCCATTTTCTGCCATGTGCTAGAGGCAAAGAACCACCCTCTGGCATTCACTTCTACAGACTTGGGAGAGAGGTGACAATTCATTGTCCTGGGCTTTCCTACTTCCTTGCAGGTAGTCTCTCTTTCCCTGCATTTGAGATTGTGATGCCAAGCCAACCAAAATTATGGACAATACTGCAGTTTCTAATCATAATGTGTCATGCTTTTGTTTCTCTTACTCTTCGGATGCACTAGGGTAGCAATTGTCTATGCTAAATAATTTTAGGGTTCTTGTACTTTCCCCGTAATCAGTTTTATGAACAAATGAAGCCTCTTTCTCTCTCTGTGTGTGTGTAAAAAGCTACCCAGACATTGATCCACGGTATATTTGCTCTGGTCCAATCCATTCAGCAGGATGAAAGCATGGCTCCTCCTCCTCCTGCTTTTTTCTTTATCCTGCGAGAGATTATAGTGGAACATGCAGATAAAGGCCAGCTGTTGTTCAGTGGCCTGGTTTAAACAAAATCTGCTTTGCTGTGACTGCAGGTCCTTGATTCTTCAGTACAGTATAGAAAAGGTTGGTGTGTGCGCGTGTGCTGAGAATCAAACGAAGCCAAGATTGGTATTCCAGTCTTTGTGGCAGGAGTCAGACATGTAACAAAAGGACACCCTTTTGTTCAGAAAAAAAACGGAGTCCATTAAGCAACAGATATCTCCGGAAGGGAGACGAGAGTTGAGGTGGGGAGGGTTCCTGACCCTCCAATGTCAGATTTTCTGCTAAAGAATAAACAGAAGAATAGAGAGAGAGACATGGGAAGTGCATAAATCCTTTGGAAAGGTAACCAAGGCAAGGACAAAAAGCACTCTGCTTTCTGGTTTCTTATCTGTGGCAGTTATGGGCATTGCATGTTGACTGACACAGCAGCAGAGATAATTGAGGGAAAGCAGGGTTGGCAAAAGGGTGGGGATGATGATTACATAAATTGCCAGGAGATGAACAGAATAAAGCAAATACCCTGTATGCATATTCAGCATGACACACGCTTAAGTTAACAGGGTGTACAAAGGAAAGGCAGCTTCTATATTCTTCAGAATTTCTGTGTTTTCTAATTTTCATTCTGGAGATCCAAACCAACCAACCCTCCTATGTTGATAAAAGATCTGTTGCTGGGGTGGATCTGTCTATGATAAAGCTGGTATCACTTGGTGGTGGGGATTTCACATATGCTGAACTTGTGCTAGAACTGTATGGGAACGTCCTTTGTGGGGACTGGGAAACAAATAGGCTTCCACAGGTCTCAGGCATAGAGAAGAAGTATAACTCAGTGATATAGCACAGGACCTTTCCCCCCGCCCCCTCAGATTGTACGTGAGATATAAATGGTACGTGCTTCTGAGAAAATCACCTCAAGTGTCATTGTTTTTTATTCAGCGTTCGAAATTCGCCATGTGCCAGGCACATTTTGCACCTGGTTATCAACCATTTTGTGACCAAGTGCCAAGATGGCGCCTGACGTCTCCCACCATCTGGAGGTGCATGTTTTCACACATCAGCAACATATCCTGTAGTATTCTATCCATTGTATTTAATCAGCACAATCAGAAATAATTTCAGGAAATGAAAGGTTGTGTTGAAAAATACAGCTTTCAAGCCGTCTGGCCCCAAAATGGCAAACAGGTGTTCCTTTTTGGCGACTGTAACCCTGGTTTAAGGAGCCATTTGGCGCCTAGCTTATATATCTGAGTTTCTAGCTGTATTTGTTTGCTTGTTATTTGCATCTGTAAACCTCCCCATATCAAGGAAGATCTCAGGGAGGGGAGCATACATAATAAAAAGCATAAAGCAATTAATTTAAGCATCGTTAAAATCACATTAGATCAATAAAAACTATCCGGAACAATTCAGCTACAGCATCTGAAATGGTCATATTCCCTCCCAAAGCTCCGCCAAATGCCTCTGTAAGCAGATGTGTCCTAAGCTGTTATCTGCAAAACAATCAGTGAGGGAGGCTGACTTAAAAGAGAAGCTGCGAGCAAGTTTTTAAGTATGCCTTGATTAAGAATTGGAAGGGTCAAGGCTATATTCTTCAGATCTTGCTTGCCTCCGGTTGTTCATCCTTCGGGCAAGAAGTGCCTGACTGCAGCTAAAGAGATAGTGGCTGTGCCCCGTAATAGTTTATTTCTGTGTTTGTTCCCGGGTTTCACTGGTCTGTGTGTTGCCCATTTGGAAATGGGTGCATGTGCAGCACTCTGGCAGCACCTCCATTGTACATCGAGCGAAATGTGCGACTCAACGTGCGGCTACAGCTGCGCTTACGTTGGCCTGGATTTCTGCAAACCTTCCACCTATTTTTGGAAGCGGACAAACAATGGAAATAGGCCATATATCTCACATTGTGTGTTCCTGGGTAACACACACACACACACACACACACACACACACACACAGGTTAGGTGTCTGTTGTGCACGTAGTATTTCTAGATCATAAACGTGAACCGGCCCTCCAAGAGAGACAAAGCAATCAAGGGCAGCTTTTGTTGGTGCTTTTTAAAAAGCAAACAGTTGTTTCTGGAAGCAGACAAATTATATAAGAATGGCATGGAAGTGAAAGCAAAGTACAGTGGTACCTTTGGTTATGAACTTAATTCGTTCCGGAGGTCCATTCTTAACTTGAAACAGTTCTTAACCTGAGGTACCACTTTAGCTAATGGGGCCTGCCCCGCCGCCGCCACACTATTTCTGTTCTCATCCTGAGGTAATGTTCTCAACCCGAGGTACTACATCCGGGTTAGCGGAGTCTGTAACCCAAAGTGTTTGTAACCCGAGGTGTTTGTAACCCGAGGTACCACTGTAATGATTATGATTATTTATGAAAGGAGTCCAGGATTATTTATGAAATGTAAGAAGGGCCCTGATGGATCCAGGGTTAACAATATACCAATATATCACGATGCCTGAAATAAGGATGGAACTACGCAGAGGCATTGTCTAGCTTCACGGTTTTCCCCTCATGTTACGTTTGCTTCAGGTTGTGCGTTTTCAGGTTGCATCCTGCGGTGACCTGGAAGTACCGGAATGGGTTACTTCCGGGTTTTGCCGCATGTGCAGACGTGCAAAATGACGGATCCTGTTCGCAACCAGAGGTACCACTGTATCATGATTCATGATATATTGCCAGGTCAGAAATTATGAAACCGATATCACAATATGGACTTCAAATCAGTTTGGGTCAATATATCACCCAGCCCCACTTTATGCTCCACATGGCACCTGGGATTTAGTTCTCAATGATGTGGCATAATTTTTGTTTGGGCTTTATGAACCACTTCAGATGGTTTGGTGGGCAGAGCGCTCCTCATGGGGCAATGTTCCTTCATTAATTATTTTTCATATCCTTCTACATGGGCAACTACCAGGTTAGGGAGAAAGTTTCTAGTCTAGTTGACTCAGTGGCATATGGCTTTCTATGTAGAATAAGTTTTGTTTAATGAATAAGAATTCAATCACACAAGCCCCATCTGAAGTGGTATAGTCCAGACACAGGTTTATCATCAGCAATGCAAGGTTTTCCAAATACTGTTTTGTCGCATTCCCACACTGCTTTCTTAAATTATAAAAGATCCCCTTTGTGATTTGATAGGATAAAAAGCATATAATATGTCGCTAGGGCTTTTGAAAGCTGGTGAGTAGCATCCGTTAGCACTGGCTTTTCCCACATTTTATTATTATGGACTAGCTGGGACATTATCAAATCAAGTTTTACTACTTCCTTATTGACACTGAGAACTGGAGGTTGACTTCCAGTGGCATGCGATGGATGCTTTTGAGAAAGTTTTGGAATGTAGAGGATGCACTGAGGGAGAAATCAACAATAGCTTTTTAGCCGTGGTGAAATGCTAGCTTCTGTCCTGTTAGGTAAGAGCTAGTGAATTAAAGCAATTTATGAATTACTTATCCAAAGGGTCTTTGTCAAAAGGACTTGCTGGTAAATATGGCTGGATGCTTTTAGTTTTTTTATTGGCTATCTGTTTTCTAAACTAGAACCTAACAAGCTGGTGGTAGAATACTGAGCTAAGCTCTCGGTTGTTTGTGGATATGAGTGGGTGTGGGTGAAACCTTGAGGAAAGGAAGATTCATTGAATAAATGAACCCTTTTGGGGTGCTAGATTTCTGGGAAACTTCCAGAGCTTACGAGGCTACTGCAGAGGACTGCAGAGGCCAGTTGCTATACTAAACAAACACATGACTTTGCATCACTTGTGTTCATTTTCTGTACTTAAGTGTGAGACTCTGGTTGACTTCTAAGGCATGTCTATATACTTTTTTTCTTACACAAGTGAAAATGCTCTTGTGAGTCACCATGATCTGAAGTTACTGGGGGGTTTTTTGCCCTTGTTACTGTTTTCTTCTTTTTATTTTAGGAGTAGTCTTATAACTGTTTGAGTTAATAATAATTAAAAAATCACTTTTTGTCAATTTTTAAACAAATACCTTAAGGAAAATGAAACAAATACCTTAAACTTGAGAAATGGGGATTGTGTTTAATGGGAAAACCATGCCTTGGAGGGAAAACTTATTGGGTTATGGTTTACATTGGTATCTTTCCAGTGTAGTCTTTAGCCATGTTTATGAAGCACTTCAAGTGTTGTTCTTTTTTTTAAAAAAAAGTGTAAAAAATAATGGACATGATAGACTTTGGTTTGGCTTATGTAGTTCTCTGCAAGCTGTTGGTTTTCTAAACTAAAAACCCCCGGGGTTTTGCTTTCCAACAAGTCCAATGATATGTGTGAAAGGAAACTTCTGAAATAGTCAGTGCCTATCTTAACTCCCTGGATATTCATTTGCCGGACCAGCTTCTGGCATTTTGGGAAATACCTGGGCCATTTCCCAGTGCCTGGAGAATTTCAGACGCTGATGTCCATGTACACATTATCTCCCTTGATGGGCCAAGAATTGAAAAAAAGATTGTGAGCATTCTTGAATGTCCTTTGTCTTGGCGCAACAAGGCAACTGCGTGGGTATTTGCCAGTGAGTCTAACTGTGACCTGTCTCCTCTTGCCCTACAGGACTCGAGTAAAATTGGAGAGCCTCGAAGACGCTTACATTTTGCGAGGGAACGACGACTCCCTTTCCGATAAGCATGGATGCCCCGCCTACGTGAGCCCAGAGATCTTGAACACAAACGGCAGCTACTCTGGCAAGGCGGCCGACGTGTGGAGTCTAGGAGTCATGCTGTACACCATGCTCGTTGGACGCTACCCCTTTCATGACATTGAGCCTAGCTCTCTCTTCAGCAAGATCCGCCGCGGGCAGTTTAGCATTCCAGAGACTCTATCCCCCAAGGCGAAATGCCTTATACGTAGCATTCTGCGCCGGGAGCCCTCAGAAAGGCTGACTTCGCAGGAAATTCTGGACCACCCTTGGTTTTCTACAGATTTTAATGTGTCTAATTCAGGATATGGTGCTAAGGAAGCAACGGATCAGCTGGTGCCTGATGTCAACATGGAAGAGGACTCGGACCCGTTCTTCAACTGAGCGTCGGGGACTAGTGTTTTGGGTTCTGCATGGCCAGGAAGGGACAACATGAAGGGAGTCCTTTCTGGCCGTGCAGAATTATATCTGTGTCTCAGCCTGGCTTGATAGCAAGAGAGAGAGTGAGAGAGACAACCTGGAGTTCTTTTTTTTCCTGGTTGGAGAAGGAACGCCCAATAAGTGAGCTAAGACCACAGATGTAGCATGTGGATGGTTTAGATGGGAGGAATCGTTGCTATTCAGTTAGATTGACATAGAAAATAACGGAGGCGGCAGCACACAGAGAGACTGTAGCTTCTCATCTTTATGGAGCCAAGGACACTACGCATCCCAAGTTCCAGTGCAGCCACTAATCCACTCCTGATTCCGTTTCGTTTCATGTATTTACAGTTCCCAGTAAATAGAAACTTTTGCCTCAACTTGCATCTTGGCATCGCACTGTTAGATATTTAACTTCAGCCATTATTCAGGGAAGGTACAACTAGCTATTATTTTATTCTTTGTTTTCCTGGATTATTTCCCCCCCCCAAAAAAATCTGATGTTTAATAGTTACAAGTGGGATTCATTTTCGGCGGGCGGGGCGGGGGGTAGTGCACAAAAAGGAACACACGAGAAGTGGGTGCTAAACCATGCCTTTTGATAGGTTGTTCTAAAGTTCATATTTCTCCTTATTTTATTTTGGGCCAGGAGGAATTAACATTTAAAATGTTCTTTTCCACGTCCCTTGAAGGGATGAAAACTCACAAGCTGTTCAGGGTTGGTTTGATTATTGTTATTATTATTGGTCAAATGGCTTTGTGGCAGGAAGCAGTTACAATTCAGACGTATTTGACTGTTTTATTAGCAAAACTGACAACAACGAAAAAGAATAATTGTCCATATTTGGGGTTATGTGTTTTTCTTCTTAACCGGGATTGAAAACACTGGCTTCCACTATACTGCACATGAATTTTGACCACAATATTTGGGGAAGGCCACCTTTGCATCACCTAAAGAAGAAAAAGGGGGAAAGCCCTAACCCTGTAAACAAATTTTCCTCTGACACCCCTGAACATGATCAGAAGAGCTCTTTATATTTGAAGGGAAAAAGGCACCCCTACACTTACTTTGTGGAAAGGCAATGACTTGGGTTTTCTTGTTTTCATTTTCTAAACAGGATACTGTTTTTAATTTTCTTCTCATTGATCTATTAATAAGCTGAATATTACCACGACACAGATCTGTCTTCTAAAAAGTACACGGTAATATGCACCTTTTTGTATTGTCAAGACTTATTTATTGATTAAACTGTCACAGTTGTGATGAATTAAGCCAGTACTTAATTACGGGTTGACTTGGGGGTGACATGTTACATGCTGTAGTTAACACACTTCTGTTTTGCTCTTCAGGTATTCCTGTCCCTAAATGATAATACTTTATTTTTTACTATTGTTTTAGCCCGCCCACCCAACGCCACCACCTTCCTTAGAGAGCTTTCATTTTGATTTAGACTGGCAAATGATTTTTATTACTGCTTTTTATATTGCTGTATGATATTGAGGGGGTGTTGGGGTGGGTGGGGACACAAGAAAACAAACAAAACAGAGATCTCTTGGCATAAATATTTGTGTTTCCAGTACCTCAGTTGTTCTGATGTTACTGCCTGTATGCGTTTTTTGTGAAGTGGTCATGTTTTTTGGATAGGTACACGTGGACTCTGTAGTATGTAAATGTTACTTGAATTTTGTGCTTAATTATAGTTATGTGGCATGTGCGTACTTGGCATTTGACGTATGGATGCTATACACCTGCTCTTGCAGGGAAGGTTTCGATCCCACTCTCAAGTTGATAGTTCCACAGTTCCTTATCAAGAGACAAAGCTGCAGCTGACCTGCCTTGGTTCTATTTTGGTATCTTAAGAATATAAAGGAGTAATGTTTTTACACTCTGAAGATGGTGCTGTGTTGAGGGATTTCTTCTTTTTTAAAAACAAACAAAACAACAATGTTTATTATTTTATAAACTTGTAGGAGGAAAGATTGGTGATGTGCATGGTGGGATTTTACTGCCTCTGGTGCTTTGTCTTGTATTTGGTTTAATGTTTTTTGTCCTAATCTCTTCAATAAACAAAATTGTGCATATTTAACTAAATTCAACTTGTGAAGGCTTTATTATTATTATTATTATTAGTTTACTGCCCTATACACACGGGTCTCATTATTAAGCCATGTAAAGGTAAAGGTGACTGAGTCCATTCAAAGGTGACTATGGGGTTGCAGCGTTCACCTCACTTTCAGGCCGAGGGAGCCGGTGTTTGTCCACAGACAGCTTTCTGGGTCATGTGGCCAGCATGACTAAACTGCTTCTGGTGCAACGGAACACCATGATGGAAACCAGAGCACACGGAAACGCCGTTTACCTTCCTGCCAAAGCAGTACCTATTTACCAGTTGCACTGGTGTGCTTTTGAATTGCTTGGTTGGCAGGACCTGGGACAGAGCAATGGGAGCTCACTCTGTCACAGGGATTTGAACCGCCAACCTTCTGATTGGCAAGCCCAAAAGGCTCAGTGGTTTAGACCACAGCGCCACCCGTGTCCCTTCTTAACCCATGGCTAGAGGCATGCAAGCACAAGATTCTGAAAACATAAAGGGGGAAGGCCCATAGGAGTAGGGCACATGTTTTGCATGCAGGAAGACCAAGATATAACCCCTGGAATCTTACAAGGACTCCTTGACTGAAGAGTCACTGCCTGCCAATGTAGACAATGGATAATCTGATTCTGGATAATGCAGCTTCCTGTGAATTTTTCTTTCTTTCAAAAAAACCCAACAATCTTAGTTCTGAAGTCAGACTTGAATACTAGACATAAAGACTTGGAATATTTGACTGAATCTGCATTAGAGTCTGAATTTAAAACTCTTTGCTACATACAAGCTTGATTTGCTTAGAGATGCTGATTTTAAAATGCTTTCCTTTTATTTTAGAGCATATTCACTGCATTATACAGAAAGGTATGAAAGGTACAATTTAAAATTACACACACAGACGCTTCCTCACGAGATGGCTATTAGGTTAAAATTAGCCAGACACATTGTAGTTGTGTGTTGAATATTTTGGCACTAACTGTTGATACAGATATTCATTCATTCATTTAATTTATTAGTCACTTCGTACAGGGTAATCCCTAGGCAACTGACAATTAAGTTTAAAAACTTCTCAAATGTCATCACTTTCCCCCCTTCACTCTGAGGACAGGTTGTTGTAAGCACACAATAGCTATCATTCCTCAGGTAATGACTTTTTAATTAAAAAAAAAAAGTGTATAAAGTCTCGCTTTCAGAGGTGCATTCTGGATCCAAGAGAATCTGACGAGATGAGATTCCTCCCAGAGTGTTTCCTTGTGGCTTTTGGCACAATTACTGCTGCCTCTGCAGCGGCCGTCTTGCAGTTTCATATTGTTCCTCAGAACGGCAACGGGGGGTGGGGGGGTGGGGAATCATTAATATGTAAACTTGGAGAGAAATTGGTTTTTAAATGCAGCCAGAGTTTAAATTACCAGAAACTCTTTCCAATTAAACTCCTACAATAAATGTGCTTTACAAAAAGCCCTTAGAAAAAGCAGGCTGCGATTCCTTCCTTTTAACAAAAAAGGCGGCTTGGGCAAGAGGAATTGAATTTCACCACCACCTCTTTCCAAACTTCTCTTACTTCAGCCCACCTCCCTTTGGAGCCTCTGTGAGCAGCTTCTGTTCTGTTTGGGTGGAAATAGTTAGAAGTGTGCCTGTTTCCTTTGCACTGCCAATAATTATATAAAAATGTGGCTGACTAATGGTTGCTCATTTGCAGGGAATTATATTAAACACGGAGGCCTGCTTCGTGCTGGTGTGAGGGAAACCTTTTGGCTAAAGGAGCCAGTTTCCAAATAAGTGGCAGGTTTATAAATGCCTTGGCCTTACGTAGGCCTCAACTTTCCTATGTCACACAGTACTGAAATCTGAGTTGCCACCCCTTTATTTTCAAAGGTCCTGTGAGGACATACATCATACATAACTAATGCTGATTTTCCTCCAGGATTTTTCCAGAAATTCTCATCACCACTAGGTTTCGCAAACTTGGGTCTCCAGCTGTTTTTGGACTACAACTCCCATCATCCATAGCTAGCAAGACTTGTGGTCAGGAAGGATGGGAATTATAGGCTGAAAACAGCTGAAGGCCTAAGTCTGGGAAATACTGGTGTAAAGGAATGAATTCTACTTCCCAACCCGCCACATTCACAGGCAAGCAGTAAAGTTTACAGGAGCCTGATGCAATAAGTGTCTTCAACTGCAAGTTAATGGATCTATACCTGCCCTAGTCCTCAGCACTGGAAATTGAAGCAGAAGAGAAGGTTTGGTAGGGCTCAAGAATCCTGAAAAAAACATAGGCTAAGGTGCCCTTCTCCCCCTTCATGGATCACTGCCCTTCTCAGTACCGCAGTGGCATGAGTTTTGCCACAGGCAAGCAAGAGACATTATCAGAGACCAAGGACCTCAGTCCTTTTTTAAAAAAAATAAGAACAGATGAGGTTCTGGTACTCATATCTTCATAAAAGTGCTGTCAGAGCATGATGGGCAACAAAAAAAAGAGAAAAAAAAAGAGGTGATGAAATTGTATACCATCACAAAAGCACCTTCTGTATATATGTGTATACCGACATGACACACTATTTAAACCTGCAACCATTTTTTGTAAGTTTTCTTTTATAAATATATTAAGCAATTTTAACAAAACCAATTCTCAATCAAAATAACCAATTACATTTTTGCCCCTTTTTATTCCCCCCCTTCCCTCCCTCTCCCACCCACTAAGGACTTCCCTCAGCTCCCCTCTCTGATTTGTTTGCACATATTATTCTCTTAATGTTAAGAATGGTACATATCATTACCTTATCATATATTCTATTAATAAATTTGTGGATGCTTATTCAAAACCTGCCAAGGAGTCCAAATCATTTTGCTGTTTTTTTAGATAGTTTGTAAAAAGATCCCATTCTTCCTTGAAGTCACAATTGTCCTCACGTAATTTATATGTCAACTTTGCCAACTCTGCATAACTCATCAATTTTTCTTGCCACTGTTCTTTCATTGGGGTTTCTCATTTTTTGTATGTTTCAGTCAATATTGCTTCTGCTCTGCTGGCTCATGGCAGGTTGCAGATGACTTACAATAATCCATTCAGCATGATGGCCATTTAAAAAACATCAGGACACAGCTGAGTTGACTTTATACATAGAAATACGTGCCACTAAATAAACTGAAAGAAACGATGGGCTACTTCCAAACCCAAACCCCATATTTTCCAGGCAGATGGCAGAAAGGGGAAAGTATTGGGCAAGGAAGCAAAATAATCTTCAAAATCTTGAAATGATTCTGCACAAACTCTAAAACGGCTGAGTGAAACCCCATGACTAACAGAAAATACCAAAGAAGTTACTGGACATCAGTGTTTTTCTTAACCTTTTGTTGAAGTCTATGAAACGTTCTAGCAAACTCAAGTATTCCAGCAGCTCTTGACTCATCTGTGCTTTCCTTGTCCCCCATTGCAGCAGCTGTGAGGAGATGTTGTTAAATCCACATCCTTAGAGAAGGCCAGGAAAATTAGAGGCAGATATATATGATTAGCAGGTACAAGATGGATTGTATGTTAATCTAATGAAACCCAACCCTACTCCCTGATGATCTGCACTGGACAAAAATATTAATTCCAGAGTCCACAGCTGGGTAAGACCTTTATTAAAGGTAAAGGGACCCCTGACCATTAGGTCCAGTCGTGACCGACTCTGGGGTTGCGGCGCTCATCTCGCTCTATGGGACGAGGGAGCCGGCGTTTGTCCGCAGACAGCTTCCGGGTCATGTGGCCAGCATGACTAAGCCGCTTCTGGCGAACCAGAGCAGCGCACAGAAACGCCGTTTACCTTCCCGCCAGAGCGGTTCCTATTTATCTACTTGCACTTTGACGTGCTTTCAAACTGCTAGGTTGGCAGGAGCAGGGACCGAGCAATGGGAGCTCACCCCGTTGCGGGGATTCGAACCGCCGACCTTCTGATCGGCAAGTACTAGGCTCTGTGGTTTAACCCACAGCGCCACCTGTGTCCAAGACCTTTATTAGAACCAACCAAAATGTCACAAAAATGTGACAAGCTTCTGAGATCTCTAAGAGTCTTCATCAGGGATGACGTTTCACAAGTTCGAGTGTGGATGGAAGAGGAAAAATAGTAAGACTGGATGTTAACAGCCATGATGTCTGCTTACAGATTAAACAAGGCAGAGATTGCAGTCTGTTTACACATCTGCCTAAAATGGAGATTACAGGCGAAGGTGAACCTAGAAAATGCCCAGGACCTAGAAAATGCCCCGCACTTGGGATTATGGGATAAAGAATGGCTGCTCCACCCATTTCTTCAAGAAAGCAAAGCCCAAGTTGTAAGTTAAAATTCCGCACCTCATATTCTTGACAGGCAGAATGTGAGTATACCACATAAAGCCTATTTTACCTCCAACCCGGTGCAGAGTTGACACTGGATTCCATATCGGGTTGCCACTGAGCTAGAATTTCTCATTAGCATCTGGATAGAGTCTCATTAGAGTCTCATTAGAGTCTAAAACCTCTGGACCCAGGAAGGACTTTGGCTGTCTGTTTGCGTGTTTATGCTGTGCCACCCACCTACACTCAACCTGTAAAACAACAGCAAAAAACTCCTGCAAATATTACAAAGCACCAATAAACCTCCAGCAACAGCCTCCTTTCAAAGGAAAGGAAAGCTGGAAAAGTGCTGCTGTCCCCCCTGAAAAACATAACTATGAAACTCTTCACTGCTTGTAGAAGTGCCATGAAGAAAGCACAATATTCTCATTGCTTAATGTTTGGGAGTTCAGCCAGCAGAGGAGCTAGCAGCAGACATGCCATGCACCCGGGGGGGCAGGGCAAGCCACCCAGGGGGGGCGATTGGCACGGTGATTGGCGTCCAGGGGGGTGGTTCGGTGATCTGGAAATACCTTTGAAAGTGACCCGGAAACTACAAATAATCCAGAATACGGTAGCTAGACTGGTGACTGGGAGCAGCCACTGAGACCATATAACACCGGTCTTGAAAGACCTACATTGGCTCCC